TCTATAACATGCACGATAATGATTCTAGACCGAGACATAAATTTTAATAAGTCTAGAAGTGTAAGTTTAGAGAGTTTTCATAAATAATTTGTTGAGGATTATATGTATCCTTACAGAAGTATGATGCTATGGAATATTTAATGTTGACTATGACATTTTACTTTGCTTTATTTGTATAATTAGCATGACAATCAAAGAATTGAATCTCAGTTGCCATAGAGATCTTAGCCATTCAATCAGGAAAAATGAAGTCGGAGGGGGGAGAAACATATTTAGGAATAATAATGAACTAATGAATAACTTTTACTTATCTATGTTTATATTATTCAATTGATTTTCAGTTATGAAAACTTTCAAACATTAAACTATCACATAAAACATATATTGATCAGCCTAAATAGCTAAATTCCTTTTTACTATGTAATAAATATTGTTTTCTTGTCATTAAAGATAGAAATTGAGTAGATTACATTTGTTCACATATAATATTTGTCACATAGAAACATTAATCTGATGAACAACATTCAGCTTATTATGTTTTTAAAGTATTTAAACAAAATTTTTTTTAAAAAGGTAGTAAAGAATGTGATAATACAATGATACCTATATTTTTCTCACTCAGTAACATTCCATCTTCAATGTTTTTTATCAGCCTTTAAAGTATAGTTTAACCTTGTCTGAGTGATGTAACTGATTTATTGATTAAATGATTGATTTAAATTTGTGCACAATTAGTGTGCTTTTTGATCAACTAATGTAATTCTAATCTGATATGATATTTAATAGGAATAGGAAATCAACGAGTATTTGTTTTGTGGTTATTACGGGATATGTGAATAAATTGGAAGGTTTATTTAAAGAAACAAGTACCATATACATGAAAACTTGGTTTTCAGTAATTCTACTAGTTTAGTGGTAAATTCGTATATACCTTTGAGTCTTTTAGCTATTGCTTGTGTCGCAATCATATTACAATCATTTAGCAATACCATACTAATAAAATAATTGAATTCAAAATATACAGTAATGTTTGTTGAGCAGTGTACTGCATAATGGCATACGGTTTTAAATTTTAGTTTTCTCATTTTCTAAAGGAATTAATGGAGCAAATATTATTTCGTATATTTTCAGAAATTTATATCGTGAAAATATTGGTCCTGTATTTCCCAATGATTTTATTGGTTTGAATGGCGGTCAAATAATGTCTATTAAACTATTCAGTATGACAGGATAAAAACTTTCTTGGGTTTATTCAAATAACTATTGATTCATGCACACATACACCTCATGTAAAGATTACTCATTTTCTAATAAAAAAACCTAAGGACTCATCTTAGTTATAAAAGTCTCATTTTAATAAGTAGCATTTCATTGAACGAATATTCAGATGTAGACTTCCAAATAAGGTTATATGGGACTAGAAATACAGAGTCTGGACAGTGTGTTGATTATCATGAAACCTCTCTGTTCAGGCATCGGAAGTCTTATTTACAAACAGAGTAGTGAATAGTAAATTGAAGTAAAACATTGAAAATGTTTGCGATATATTCATCATGAGATTCTATCTGAGACAATAAGAGTGTTGAAAAAAAGTAGGTTTATCGGCAATAATAAGTTAATATTTGCGTAAACAGAATTTTATTTTGATGAATTCGCTCAAACAAGAACTGTGCTTAGAAAAAAAGGTCTTAAGCATGATGAGTACTTGAAGAAATTGAAATTAAACATTAAAATAATTATCAGAAAGGGAATTTTGTGAATATTATAGCATACACAAAGACAATGGTGGATGGTGGTGCAATTTCGTGAATTAGTTGAAGTTAGACATTAACACCGCCAGATGCCGGCTTAGTGGTCTAGAGGTTCGGTGTTTGTGCGCGAGGCCGTCAGGTTCTGGGTCCAAATCCCGTGGACGGGTTCGTGGATGTCCACTGCTGAGAAAACCCACACTAGGATGAAACAGCCGTCCAGTGCTTCCAGGTTTTCCATAGTGGTCTAGCTTGAATTAACTCATGAATTCAACTATTAAAATAACTATTTGAATACGTTTTGGATAAAAGTGATATAATCTTGCTAATGAACTTTTTATTTCATTTTAATTTAAGAGAAATAAACTTGAATAGTTTGTTTAACGCAGTAACGATTACAGGAAGTTAATTAATATATTTCTAATTTTTTATTGATTTTTACGTAGTGTGATCATAGCTGTTATTTAGTTCATTAACTAATGATTATAAATCCATATTCTTAGGAATCATTGTCAAAAACTGAATCCGTAGGCATCAAATAAGATTTTAATCTAGTTAGTTAAATAATCAGAAAGTTCTACTGGGACAATTAACTGAATTCATTTCTTCTAAAAAATAAGTAAATTTTTCAATCATTTTTTTTATTAACCATTCAGTTAACTTAATGGACATTTTTATATTCAGACATTAATTTGGTGCTTACTACTCATATTTGTGTTGTAAATAATAAGTAGTACATTCAAGAGAATTCTAAGGTATTTTTTTGACTTTGAGAATATTGAAATATAACTAATTACAGCTAAAAGGAAATTTTATTTCTAGAGAGAATACTGCATACTCTCAAAAATGTATTATATTTCACCTTTATTCAATACGGAAGCGAAACAACAAAACAAAAAATGTTAGGAGATCATAAGTACTTGTTTCATATTCATATAATCTCTAGTAAATTATTAGATATATTATTTGCTCTAGCTCATTTAAATGAAGATTTTTCCTGGCTTAATAATGAAATAAAATGATACACAAATTGATACTAAACCATTTTATATCTAACCACTAAAATTATCTACTTAATACAGATTTAATGGTACCGCAGTTACACTTATTACATTGAGAGATAATTAACTTAAGAGTTGGATGTTGAATCTTGGAATGTCTTTCTTAGATTGAGCTTAGTTTTAAGTTCAGCACAAAATACTCAAAATAGTGGTTAATATTTTTACATAGGCTTGTGATACGGAATCCGAATTCTACACCCACTTATGTTCTACAAGAACTTTAATTTTGTTTATTTCGTCTAAAACACTTCACATATAACGATGTAATTTTGTTGTACAAAAGACTCCCTTCATTGATCAATAATTATATCTTTAGTAAAACCTTCATTGGACATTAAGCGTCGATAATTCGATTTTTGTGATAAATCATCACGCCACCAGACTATCTAAATGGAGTCGATTGTGCATTCCATACGATTCACTTTAATATATCTTTAGTTATAACGAACAAATTACATTTACATATATATTTTTATGTATTCGAGTGTTATTTTTGGACGAACTTTCTACAATCTGTATGTATCGTATTTAGGGAATGTAAGAATGTAATAAAATCATTATTGAAAATAAAAATCTCCCTAAAATGTATCGAGTATAGAGACATTAGGGTTTTTTTATTAGGTTGTGAAAAAGGTAGTAAACCGAGTACTAAAATATTTTACGGCTTTTTTTCTTTATCTCATTATTGACAAGAAAGTAAATATGTGTTTCAGTACCCTCATGAAATAAAGTTTGACGTTTCTTCCAACTTAAACCCATATCCTAACGTCATTGTAGTTACCATATAGAAATTAAATTATTGTATTAAATTCAAAATTTTAATTTCTCATGAATTGCTTTTTTAATATTTCTTGGTAATGATATTGAGACGCATAGAGGTCGCATTACTTTTCCAGATATTTACAAAATCCTGCCACTTGAATACTACAAAACATAAATACAGACTGAAACAGTGATAGCATTGTATCGCATTGTCAACTCAACTTTATGTCACTTACTAGGAATTTAATTTATGTGGAAATGAAACATTGTTGAGAATCATGTAATGTGAAGTTGATCACGATTCCGTGACCAGTTTACGTAAACAAAAGGAATTTTAATGGAGATTGTTCGTGAATCCGTTAAAATCACCAATTTAGTGTTTTGGGTATGAATATTTAATGTAATTTGTTTTTGTCCTGTTATGTCTTGGTATGCATAACAGTATATAAACAATAACATTTTTTTAAACAAATGGCGCTTAGCTACCTTGCTAAAGTCTAGTATTCTAGAACTTTAGCCTGTAGCCTGTATCCATGAATAATTCAGCAACAGGACCATCAAGTCAAACTATTTCACTGGTGAGCGATACAGAAATCACCTTATTTAGTATCCAGGCTATTGTTAACGGAATAAAGAATTCATATAGACGGAAATTATGATGGTTGGGTCTCGTTCTGAATCCGCTTTCCAAGATATTTTGTCTCATATATATCAGTGTTACGTGTGTTTCTTTTTTGAGTCCCTCATATTTATTGGGCATTTATACATCTTGTGTTGTTTGATTCGGAAATGGTAAATTCATACATCGATTCCTTGATGAAGTTATTTTAACTGGTCTGTTTGGATCAGAAACTACTGTTTACCTAAAAGCATTTTGTTAACTAGGATATAAGTACGAAGTTTTAAATGTTATAAGTATGGATTTCCAAGTCAGTTAATAAGCCTAAGACAAGTGTTAGAAACGATGCTAGATCGCTTTAGTTGATTCTAGATAATGCGAGTAATTAATTCATGTTTAGTCCATTCCTTTACTGAAAATAATAAAAGAAATCATCTAACCCTAATTTTTCCCATGGATAACACTTTCAGTGAAAACTTAAATTAAGCATTTTATGAGCAAAGTCTCAAACATCATATAGGAAAATATATTGCAAAATACATGAAATTACATTGGTATGTAAACAAACCTAAACTACTTGTGAGTAATAAGCATTTATGAAGTAAAATTATGTTTCCCTGGGTTGTGGAATTTTTATATATTAACTGTTGATAGAAATGTAGAAATTCGAAACATTTCATTTAAATCAACTATTATGCACAAGTGTAGCATCATACAATTGTACAAACAATGACTGAAAGAAACTACCTTTATGTACTGTTTTTTTCACTAATTCTCAAATTAAACAAATATTACGGTGTTTCCATGTAATTAAACGCATTTCTGATGTACAATTTCTAAACCAAATTCGTTATATTCTTCTCTCGTTACCCACATTTCATTGAAAGTACTTAAAGAGGCTAAAACAGCACCACCAATCCATACTGAGTATTTTCGTTCAGGAGATGCCATCACCTTTACTGTAGCACCTTTTGGGGCCAAACGATGCAATTCTTTACGTAGTCGTTCAGGGAAACCACGAAACATTGTACCTCCACCAGTAAGAATAATATTTGACCAAAAACTCTTTCTGACATCCATTCCACAAGCCAGTATAGTTTCATTTGTGGCAGTGTGAATGCCATTCATTTCGTAACCAGCTAACTTGGGATCGAACATCAATTCAGGTGCACGGAACCTTTCACTACCAATATTTAACAGCTGACCATCAGGTAGACGATACGTCATTTCGTACAACTTTTTATCTCCTTGGCTAAACTGTAGTTCTTTTCCGTAATCCATAGCAACATAACAAAGATTTTCTTTTACATCACGAGCAATTTCATGTTCACATGTTGTAATCAGTTTGTAACCTCTTTCAGTGAGTAAATGTTTAAGATAGTTGGTTACTTCACGTCCTGCTAAATTTCTTCGGTGAATAGCCGTCGGAATAACATACGCATCAAATACAGGAACCAAGTGTGTAGCGCCTTCTCCACAGTCCAATACTAAACCAGTTGTACGACCTGAAGCATAAAGTGAGAGAATAGCTTGAATTGAGATATAAACTGCTGGTGCGTGAAATTGTTCAAACATAATTTCTGCCATTTTCTCACGATTTACTTTAGGATTCAATGGTGTTTCAGTCAAAAGCATAGGATGATTCTCAGGAAGAACACGTAGCTCATTGGTAAAGACATGTTGCCAGATAGTTTCTAGATCATCCCAATTTTGTACAATGCCATTCATCATTGGGTAAGATAAAGTTAATGCACCTCTTTTACCACCGGCTATATCACCGACGAAGCATTCATCAGAATTTCTGTCAGCAATGACTTTCATATGTTTGGGTCGACCGAGAATCATAGGAACGACTGCTCGTGGTTCCATTTCACCAGAATAGCCAACTTTCAACAATCCTGTTCCGTTGTCAATAACAATTGGAGGATTATCTGGACCGAACTTAAGTACCATGATTTTAGATTAACTTGAATGATATATATCCTAGTAATTAAATGAATAATTATTGAAGCGTATAATGATTTATTCCTTGATTAGGATGCATTTTAACAGAATATTCAATTTATAAATTTATTTTGAATCTTTCATTGAAATATGGTTGGTCACAGTGATTTGTTTCTCGATAGTTGTCTGTTTATTACTTGTAAGTGGGTAACTGAAAGTAAAGTATACACATGTGATTATCTATGTGCGTGTAAGTGTGATCACTTCCAACTGTGTATACATGCACAGACACACAAACACATGTGTACACCAAAAAGGATTGATGCGTGTGATTTAACTATATTCACTGAGTATATACTTAGCATAGACTCACTTAGAAACTTTCGGACTATACAAAAGATTGACTTAATAAAGTATTTATGTCACATATACATTTGAGAAAATACTAATGTTCATATTTGTCGTGACAATAACCTCTGTTAAGATCAGTCTTATTAGTTATACACTACATATGTGGTAGTGTGGTGTGTACTACTGATGTCAACAGATATAAGTAGTATGTATCGTCAATCGAAAGTGAAATGCCTGGTGGCAGGAGGTTAAGATTTAAGAAAAGAAAACGAAAACAGAGAATGGTTGGCGTGGAAACGAAGGAACAATCAAATCTGAGACAATTGATTGACATTTTGCAAATAAAGTATTTACAATATGGTTCTCAGATTTTACTAAGAGATTCTGTAATTTTGTGTTTGATTACATTTAGTTGTCCCCACTGTTGTTCTCGTTTACTACAGTAGGACCGTTGATGGGCACCCCAGAGTGATGCCATACTAGAATAAAAATTTTGTCTTACTGTGCTGCTCTTCTTGTTCTCGCTTTATTCAAAATGAGTGCGGAGGATTTGTGGAGACTGTTGTATTCTCACAGTTGAAATACTGAACTGATCTTAGCTAAGCTACCATTAAAAACGTGAAAGCACTGGACTGTCGTTTCGTCAGAGTATGGGAATCCTCAGTAATTCGTATCCACATTTCCGCATGCTAGACTCGAACCCAGGACATTTCCATGGTCTCGTGGATGTACACTGCTAAGGAGTTCCATACTCGGATTCATTTGAACACACGGAAGCAAACAAGCATGTGAGGAGGAACATCACAGTTGACAAGCAGAAAAGCGTGAAAAAGCTAGCAACGATGTGGAGATGGGCCTGACAAGCCTATTTTGTAAATATTTTTTAGTGTTATTTGTATTTATTTTGTCAATTTTTCACTGTGTGTACATTTGTCAATAAATGACTGTACGTGTTGTTTAAGTGAATGACCTTGGACACACTTTCCGTTGTGTAACTAAATAGCGTGACATACCGTTGCTTGCTAACAAATACATTGCTACACACATATCCCTCATTCTATTTTCGTTCGTGATTGAGTTAACTGAAATCTAAATCAAATATTACCTACATTTATAGACTGTGAGTGGGAATATACCATACTTTACATTGGATTACACTACTAGAGAGTTCGTTAACCTGATTGGAATGACCAAGCATTTATAATTGTGGATTTTCAGTACCAGACTAAAGCCGAACACATATCAATTAGGTGAACTTAAGTAAAGTCCCAATTTTTATTGTATTTGTAACAATTAACTGGTATATATTAATATTACTATTGATCTTTAATAACTTTGTTGATACTTTTTACATTTATACATCGTCTGGTCCACCACAACGACAATGGAAAAAGCTTCAAGAGAAGGAAATATAAAACAACTATATGACACAACGAAGAAACTAGCAGGATAATATAGTAAAGCAGAGAGACCAGTCAGGGACAAACGAGGCAAGACAATCACTGAGATTCAAGAACAGCGGAACATATGGGTAAAACACTTTGAGGAACACTTAGATAGGCCGGTTCAACTGAATCCACCAGAAATCGAAGCAGCACCCACAGACATTCCTACAGATGTCACTCCACCGACGATCGGAGAAACCAGGATGGTCACCAGACAAACGAAGAGTTAGAAAGCAGCAGGACCTGACAATATGCCGGCTGAAGCACTGAATTCACACATAGAAGCAGCTGCAAACACGCTCCACGTTCTATTCAGGAAGGTTTGAGAGGAAGAACAAGTGCCACTGACAGACTGTAAAGAAGGGAATCTCATCAATATTCAGAAGAAAGGAGGTCTCAGCAAATGTGCGAACGACAGAGACATCACACTAATATCACTACCAGGGGAAGTTTTCAAAAGAGTATTGCTGAATTGGATGAACGATTCGGCAGACACTCAACTTCGTGATCAACAGAATTAATTCCATAAGGACCGGTCGCGCACAGACCAAATCACATTATGGATAGTTGAATAATCAATTGAATGGAACTCTTTGCCATTTATCGTATATCGACGTTTGGAAGCTTAGATAGGAGAACCTTAAGGAACGTTCTTCAGTACTATGGTGTGAGTAGCTGAGAAAATCGTCAACGTCATCCGAAATTCAGAAGACGGACTACAATGCGAAGTAGTGCATAGAGGACAGATGACAGACGCATTCCGAGTGATAACCGGAATTTAACAAGGTTGCCAACTATTCCCCTTTCTCTTTCTTCTGGTGGTCAACTGGATTATGAAGACCTCGACATTTTGGAGCAAGCACGAAATACAATGGACAACTTGCATGTAACTAGACAGTTTGGACTTCGCAGCTGATCTAGCTCTTCTATCCCACAGACACCAAAAATTGCAGATGAAGACAACCAATGCATCGGAATCCTCTGCATAAATGCGCCTCAACATAATCAAAGGAAGAAGCAAGATCCTCAAATGCAATACAGAGAATATCATCTCAGTCACACTTGATGGAGAAACTCTGAAAGAGGTGGGATCTTTCACATTCCTGAGCAGCGTCATCGATGAACGTGGAGTGACGGATTGTCGCATTCTTACAGTTGACGAACATATGGAACTCGAAACAACTTTCTGCAAGCCAATATCGAAGTCAGAATCCTCAATACGCACGTCAAAACAGATCTGAAATTCGTAGAATTACTACAACCATCACCAGAAAAGTTCAAGTATTCATAAAAGATTGTTTACACAAGATTTTTAATGTCCGTTAGCTGGATATAGTTAGCAACAACATACAGTGGGAGAGACCTAACCAGCCTCCAGGTGATGACGAAATCGCGAAAAGCGGTTGGAATTAGATAGAACACACATTGGAGAAATCATTAATCTGAATCACGAGGCAAGCGTTAAATTGGAATTTGAAGAGAAACTGATGAGAGGGAGGCCAAAAAATAAACCGAGTTGGGAATTGAAAGCAGACATGAAAAGGATGGATGACAAATGAAAAGGCTTGTCGATGACAAAGTTCGACGAGGAATGTTGGTGGGCTGCCTTTGTTCCTCCAAGACGGGTAAGGATGTATGTAACCTGTTTTGAAGACATGATTTACTATGACGTTCTCTCAATGTTTTTTTAATCGGCCCAAGGTTACAGATAGAATAAAAACATTTTGCTCCAGGTTTTCGCCTCAACGTTTATCAGAATTACCACTGATGTACTACAATACATCCATGTCAATCATCGTGAGTGAAGACGCTTCAGCTTTTGGACTCGGTGCTACCATCTCACATCATTTCCCGGATGCGACAGGAAAAGCTATTATGTGTGCACCTCGCACGTTAAGTCTAGCCCATTCTGCATTCTTTTGGGTTATGAATTCGAAATTCAGTGTCGGCGCGCCCAACATTTTGTTTGAGCAGACGCCTTGTCATGACCTGTCAGTGAACATCCTACGGCTGAGGAAGATATGGTTATCACCACCCTTTCGACAGAAGACCACGCGCACTTTTACCTGATACCTGATATTTGTACTTTGCCAGTTTCATCATCTGAGACACAAGCTGTTTCCAGGAACGACTCAATCACTAAGAAAACGATGAACTACGTCATCGACAATTGTCCGTTCGCTGGACTCGATGGTGACATGAAGCAACTTTACCGTCGTCGGGATTCATTACATGTAGTAAATGAATGCTTGATGTCTGGAGACAGAGTGGTGGTATCAGGATTTCCACAGTCAAGGGTGCTGGGGCAGTTCCATATTGGTCAACCTGGTGTGAAACAAATGAGATCCATAGCTAGAAGTCACGCGTATTGCCCTCGTATAGACCAGCACATCGTGGATTTGGTAGGCAAATGCACCCAGCGTCAGCAAGTGGTTGATACGTTTTCAGAATGGCTAGAACTTCTCCCCATCATGTCGACAACGACTAGCGAAACGATACTGACCTCACTATTTTTTCCTGGAAGAACTCATCTGAAGTTGCTCGGTCGAGCATCTGAATCGGGTCACGAGTGGGCACGCCGTGCTACGGGTCCCTTTTTATTACCAGCCAGCTCAGAACAAACACTTCTCGACATTTCGATGGCTTTCTAAATAAATTTTCTAACCTCTTCATTTCTGACTTCTGTTTTGACTGATTTGGTATGTTCTGGTAATGAAGGCGTTACGTGTAAAGACGTTGTCAAACCCCAAATACTTTTGAGATCTTTAGGATAAAGAGGTGTGCGGGTCATGAGTATACAAACAGTGTTGGGTGTAGAATGGGAGAGCTTGCATCCATTCTTGTTTTAGGACTGCTTTCCCCACCGTGTTGTCGCTAAATAAGACTTGGAGGTGACGTGTTGTTGACCTATCATCTAATATTTCTACTTGGAAAAACCTCTGGACTCTTCGACTCTGATAAAGCGAGACAGTTTATTATCTTTCGTTTTAAAATGAACTGTTGTGATGTTGGTGGACTGGAAATTAAGTCGTGGTTACTCTGGTAACTGAATGTCTCAAAGCCGTACTCTGAGGCACTTCACTGAGGACAGTTTCCCACCTAGACAACATTGAGTTCATCTGTACACTTTGTTGACGCCGAACTAGAAATTCATATAGCCACGTTAATACGTTGCCTGCAATCTCGTTGTTAATCAACTTACATGACAGCCGGTTATGAGGAACTTTGTTAAAATGCCTCGCTGAAGACAATGTAGGCTACACCAATAGGTTACTTTTGGTCGTTAATAGCGCACCGACTTTCACGGGCTACTAACAAGTTTGTGAGGTATGAATAACCTGTTCTAAATCCCTGCTGCTTCCCAGGAGAAATCCGTTCATCGTTGAGATACCTAAACAACTCC